AAAGGTTGGTGACCCCTGATCTATGCTAACCTCTTAAGAATGAGTTATCGTTGTTTAGAACTAACAGTCGCCTCTCCGTGTCGTCTCACGCACACCTAAGCCCCGCCCCTAGCTGCTTGCGGGACGCTGATTGGTCCGTATCTCTGTGGTCTGGAAACAAAACATTACTTGAAGCCTGAAGAGATGGATTTTCATGTAATCTCGTGTTCCCGCAATTCTCACGTGATCTCGTGTGAATCCAGATTTCCATATCGTGACGTAAAAGTGTCAATAATGAAACCCGTATTTCAAGAGTATTTCACATGCTTTCTGTTATATGGTTCTCTCTACTCGCAAGAGGATTTGTTGGAGAAAGAAAACCCTGCGATATTAAAGTTGTCTAGATGCAGGGTCATGGGATTTCTTCAGTGGTTTCAGCTTTATCACTGTTTTGACAGTGTGGTCAGTGTAATGCCTCAGTGGGATTTAGAGGGTTGGGGTGGTTTAGTTCAGGGATATAGTGGATCAGGTCTTTTTTTATAGACTGAAACCCTTTTGAATTACTCACCTCTGTGCTGTCTGGGCATGGAAAGGACTCCTAGACACTCTGAGCAGACTGCCAGCTAAAATAAAAAATAATCGTCAAAATATGGGTACAATGGATCTGCTCTCTGCACAGCTGGACAAATGAAGACCACTCCCGTTGCATTAGGAGACAGGATTTGGGTCAAAAAGATCCCTTTAAGTAAAAACTAATATGTGTGCTGTTTCTTATCTGTTATCTTAGTCTGTTTCCAGTCCAGGAGGCATCGATTCCCACAGAACAGTTTCAGCTGCCAGCTGGCTTTATAATCAGACCAATCCCATCTCCTGTTCTCTGGCTAATCAGACCAGCTAACAAACACCCCGTCACCCACTAAACACAAGTGTGCACACCAGCACGCATTCGTTCCACTTCTCCTCGTCGACTTCCTTACTCGGGTTCCATCACTCCCTTCCTCTCACCTCAACATTTGTTTTCCCTGAAAAGCTGAATTTTGGATTTGACTTTCAGTATTTTTTTGGGGGATGTAAATATTTTATTTACATTCATAAAGAGCCCGGGGTGGTTTGTGGATCTTCAATGTGCAGCAGAGGAATGGCGGGACATACATCAACCGTGTTCCCACCTCGGTCTGACATCCATCAAACACATGTAGCTGTACTCTGGCTCTGCTAGTTTCAGCAGCAGCACCCGGGCATTCAGAAATCATAGTCGCTACTTCACCTCCACTGTGTGTGTGTGTGTGTCTAAGAGGCAATGAACAGGCACGGAAAAGAACGCAGGATATGGAACAGAGAGAGGGAGAGAGCAATAGCGAGGGAGATTTCATCTCCTCTCTGCCTGTATACATATCTGTTAGAATGTAGGTCAGGCAGCCCCAGTCACTCTCAGAGCCTGGGAGAAAGAGATTGCTCTGTGTGTGTGTGTGTGTGTGTGTGTGTGTGCGTGCATACACACGACATGAATAAAGCATGTGTCTCTCTTGTAATATGTGCTTATTTGTGTGTGCCCCTTATCCTCATGTGCCATATGTGTGCGTGTTTCTTTGTGTTTTGTGTGCGTGTGTCTAAAATACCTGTCGTGTACAGTATATGTCACAGTGGACATCACAGCCTGCGTGTGCCACAGCAGCCGGTCTTCCCAGGCTATTGTAAGTGTGTGCACTCTGGCTATGATACATATAGGAGCCCTGTAAAGGGCAGGCATGTCCCCCCTATCATCGGAAAAATGGCTTACCACAGCAGCACAACTGCAATGTATGAAAGTGTGTACTTGTGAAAGTGAAAGCATCCAGAGCGCTTTGTCCCCACCAAAGCCTGATGTATTAGGATTATCAACACGCGGGAAGTGTTCCCTGTTAGTACTGGTCGTCACTTTAAACCGATTATTCAGATGTTTCTTCATCGGCCCCATGTTGAAAGAACTATCTGCACCACTGCTGTCATGGTAACGTTAAACCATGTCTCATCTAACATTGTTATTCGTCCGTTTTATATCTTCTGTTTACTGTAATGGTCCCGTATGAATGAGAAAATGGTTTTAACTAATGTTACTCAACTGCATTTTACTCCAATGATGAAATCAATCCATGTCATAAGCATTTTAAGTTCTCAGTCATGTAAAGATACGGACTGTCCAGTTCAGGTAAAAGGCTGCTCTGTACCATGATTAAATTAATCCTTTTGACTCTCTGGTCCCGTATTGTTCTGATCAGGAATCTGACTCGTTGGCACTTTTATCTGGTTACATTTGCTTGTTTTTAAGATAACATGATTAAATATACTATTGTAATGTTAATCAGACTTGTTTTTGATATTTATTTGGGCTGATAATAAAAAGGGGGAAAAAGATTGAGAATAATCAATGAATTAGTAAAATATTAGTGCTGGACAACGATTACAATTTTTTTGCGATTAATCGCGATTATCGCATTGTTATGCGCAAAGTTCAATAATGAATTCAAAAGTAGTGTATTGCGCACTTTTATTTTAAAAGTACTGCTATATGAACAAAAGTGCAATAACATTTGGTTTGCAAACACTTTAAACAAATCAGGTTATTTTTAACAGCAGTATTCCCTTTACACAGTAGCAGTTATAATACAGTTATAATGATTCTGATAATAGATATTCAGCCGGTGTTCACAACTTTATCTTCATGTGTGTAAGAGATGCAATCTCAAATATACACCTTGAAAACTGTAAACCTATCTATGTCATGTTTTTCTCATCTTTTTATGTTTGTTAAATTCTCAGTAGCGATAACTAAATGATATGCTTATTATACATATTACAAACAAAAACACTTAAAAACTCAAAAAAAATAATTTAAATGAATCATTTCTTTTTTTGGTATTTTGGTCAGACACATATGCAAAACTGATTACCGTAATATGTGTAGTATTTGTTATAAATGTACGTTGGTACATAGAGGGTGATAAGAAGCTGTACATGGAGGGACTTAGGACCCAGGGGAAAGTAGGTGAAGATAAACAGGAAGAGACGGAAGAGACGCCACACAAACACAGCTGTTCACCACTCGCTGCCGAGCGATAATAACGCTTTAACTTGCCCAGCACTGTAAAAAATATAATCATTTTTTGTAACAAAGGGGCAGAATGAGAATAGCTTGTGCACACACGCGTCTTTAAATGTCTGTGTATGTGTTTTTGAAGAAGATGTGAGATTGTGTGTGTGTGTGTGTGTGTGTGTCTGTTTGCCTTCCTGTGAGTGTGCTCCCATTGCTGTTCAAGGCCCATTCTCTCCTGGCTGTGCTCTGTCTGTCGCTGTCCTTGGTGCTGAAACTAGCAGACGAGCTCCTCAACTCTATGGCTGGAATACCACACAAAAGCACACGCATTAAATACACCGCCACAGCGCGCTGCATTGTTGTATTGTATCGTCTTCTGTTGTCTAGTTAGACTCTTGCCATTTCTCTTTTCTTTTTCCTGATACACAGAGATGTATGGGGGTGGGGTGGGGGGGTGGGCAGTGTTCTGATGAAGACTCAGAGCTGTGATTTGTCATCAGCCTCCACATGAAGACCTTCATCAGAGGACAGACCCATCACTTACACTCTGATTATAAAGACCAGTTGGTCAGGAATGAGCATGTGTGTGTGTGTGTGTGTGTGTGTGTGTGTGTGTGTGTTTGCATATTATGTGGTAAAAGCAGATGGAATTATGTCACAAATTTGCAAGAAAACATTCAACCTTCCCTAATTGGATTTTTTTCTAAATGCGGTGAGACATGAGGAGCTCCTTTTTACCACCAGAGACAGTCATACTTTTATTTGTACATCCAGCGGGCTAACTACCTTTCACCCGAGCACTTTGACTTCGTTTTACCGCCATTTCTTTTTCTGAATGACAATGCTTCACGGGTGCACTGGTGGCTGTAATCAAATAGAAACCCAGCTTTCGACGCCGATTTTCAAAGACATAAAAGACAGCAGGACCGTCGTCATAAATCAAAAAATATAGTTTTGAGTGGCCCATTGTTTGCTTACAACTCGCTCACACTGTTTCCAGCTTGGCCACGCTTCAGAGTCACACTACAAAGGGAATGGACCAAAAGAAGGTGGAAAACAGGTGTTATGAAGGGTAAAAAAAAAGACCCCCTGATGGATCAAAGTAAAGTCCGCTTATGCATGTAACAAGCGGCGCTCCTTTTTACATAACGAAACTACAGACACTCTGAGCACTCACTGTGAGCCTATGGCTGTTTGTCCTGAAGGACCAGCTATTGTTTTTGATTTAAGCTGCTTTGAAATAGGTGGGGAATAGCTGTGTGTGTGTGTGTGTGTGTGTGTGTGTGTGTGTGTGTGTGTGTTATGGGCCGTCTGCTAGGCTCCCTATGGGGGCCTTCATTCTTTCTGACGGTCCCTATATACCATCAGCACCTCATCTGTTCACTCCCATACGTTCTCTCAATTAGCAGCAGCGGATGGAAAGAAACAAAGACGGGCAGAGTACACAGGCAGCGTTTGAGTGCATGTGTTCATTCACACCTCCACCTCTTTTCCTTTCCCGTCTTTATCACGTTCCATGTCTTATTTATTTATTTTTGAAGGAGTAGGACGTCGACCCCTGTACTCACTCCACACATCTCCCACCACTCTCCCTCCCTCTTTCCTCTCCTCCTCTAACAAAGGGTGGAGAGCCGAGGAGAGAAATCATGGAGGCAGGCACGGATCATTAGCTATATTTGTCCCCACTTCCTGCAGAAAATGATAGATCTAGCTAATTACCCCATGTTGCCAAGACCATCACACACGACAAGCGGCCTTCGTTATGGCGGAAGTCAGCGGTGGCTTGGTGCGTGCCGCATAGCCCATGCTACATGCCTACTCCTGAGCCCAGAGTCAAAGGAGAGCGGAGAAACCTCAGATCCTGCCATGGCTGCATGTGAACGTGATTGTTCTGGAAAATGGTTTTAATGATGCACGCTTTCCCGTCTTCTTCTTCCCCTCTGTGTAGAAAATGAGTTTGGAGGAGACGTGGTGAGCCGTTCCTCTCCAGCTGAACGTCGGTAGGTCACTGTGGAAGCAGAGGTCCGGACCAAGAGAGCCGTCTCGACCCCAAACCCTTTCAGGTAGTGCAGCGCATCCCGTTGTTCACACCCTGTTCAGATGGGGTTGTTGTTCTGATCGTGGTCACGAGCTGCTTCTGATGCACGCTTGTGTGACAAATCTGAATTGAACTTGTTCCTTTTGTCACATTTTACATTATAGATTTTTCCAATAAATATATACAGCATCAACAGCACTGCTCAGTGACAACAAAATAAACTGAAAGCAAAGAACCCAAACAGCACTTGTTATAACAGCTATAATGTATTGTATATACTGTAGTTCTGAACAAAATTAGAGATGAAACAATTAGTCGACCAGTCAATTGACAGCATGGGTAAAGAGGAAGTTGTCAATCAAGCTTCTTTCCCACTGGACAAAACCCCACTAACACCCGCGTACATGTGGCCTTTGTCTTGAGTGGGAAAGGCTGCAGTCTGCATTCGATCCCCGTACAAATGACTCTGCTGTAGTCACGGCTATTTATTGGCTCCAGCTACGAGATGGAAACATGGCACACAGGTGGACACACTGATTCACCATCCCTCTTCTGGCATGATGCTATGTGATCCGCATTGACGTGAATATTTAATAAATGAAATCAACGGGGATTTGGACAGTTATTATAATTTATTAATGTACAAAACCTAATTACTAGAAACACCATAAAACTGATCAAGACAGTCTTGGTTAGTCCTTCCACTCTGACTGGTTTGTAAAACACACTCTGTTCAAACTCAACACAAACCACAAAAAAAATGTTTTTCATGTTTTGAAAACAAGAGAGAGACTGAATAAGCAACAGATATGAAAAGAAGTAGCCAGCATAACGTTTCCATAGTTTACTAACTAAGACAGAAAGGCATACTTGTCTACTGGCTATGGGTAAGATCTCCTATTTTTTGCCTGTTTTTCTGCTTTTAGAAAACACTGATATACTGTACGGACTAGTTCAGGTGTAACAAAGGGTAAAACACTGAACAGGTTCGTCTGACAGAGATCTGAATAATAACAAAAAATGCAAAAACATAATCTTCTGCTTTCAATGTGAAATTGTTGAAATGACAAGGGAACCCTTCTTCATGAAGGTCCTCAATCGTTTGAACCTCTTTTCTGTGCCAAGTTTCAAATATAGATCCTCCTTAGCCTGAAAGTTTCCTTATTAATTATTGGCAGAGGCCCAGATGAGAAGTTTCCATGAACTGCATGTTCAGTAATATGAGATCAATTCTTTAATCTGTTGAGATCAAGTTATATTGATCCTTTTATTGAACTATTAGATTTTAGGAAAACCGTCTTGGAACATAAACCAACACAAACCAGTATTTGACACAACAGCTTATTTCCTATAGCGGTTTAATTAGTTCTGCTCCCCACTGTAGTAGCAATGCAGTTTTCAAAGATGGAGATGAAAGGCAATAAAGCCGAATAGAATCAAGATTTTACGAAGGAAAGGGTATCCGAACATGATCCACTCAGGCTGTATAGCAATCATTTAGGTACGAAACACACATCCTTCGGGTCCTCTCTACGATCTGTGGACCAGCTGATAAATTGCGCTATCGTATTCCGATCACAGCTCCTCTCTCTCTCTAACCCATTTTAGAGCCCTGCACTGCTGCCGTCGCCCACCAAAGCCATGCTCCACACTAGTTAGGAATCACTCTCTGGATTTTCAGTCTCCTTCTGTCTCCATCACCCTCGCTCTCCTCCTCACTCCGACTGTCAGTGCCCACTCCGACGCTATCTCCACAGCCCTTCACACTAATTCAGATGCACTTAGCGTCGGTTCGGCACACGTGTTTACTGTCACGAGATGATGCATGGCATAAATACCTATTCGCAGAGAAATTTGATAGTGCCAGCGCAGTTTTGGTGGCTCCCCAGCACTACACTGTACAGAATACCAATGTGGGAGTGTGTGTGTGTGCCTGTGTGTGTGTGTGTGTGTAGGTGTGTGTGTGTGTGTGCGCGTGCGCATGCGTGGCGGAGGGTGGGTCGGGCGCCATATGCCTGAAACGCATTCTCCCAAAACTTCAAGGTGAAAACAAAGGGAAGCTGATAACGATGTGAATTGTTGTGACAGATGTCTGAGCACCCCCACACCCCCCCCCCCCACCACCAAAATGATGAACACACACACACACATAGAAACACACATAACGCTCGTCTCAGTGCATATTACAATAATCGCTGCATTGCTTATCATGTTTCATTCCCAGTAATATCCCAATTCTTCTCTATCAAACAGCAAACCCCCTCTTCTTATTCCTGTCTGATGGCATTTCCTGCATAGTGATGAAGACTCCTAATAACGGCCATGGACACTTTCAGTTCCAAGGAGGAGAATTTGCACATTTGTTTTTGTTTTGATGAGGACTCTACAATCCATATTACCAACACAAACACTGTTGACATTTGGACGGCTGCTTTTTCCAATATGCATGCGGAATAAAATGTTGCGCTGCGTTCCACTCTCCATCCACAGTACGCACGTGTTTTCAAAGGATGCCAGTCTTCTGTGAGAATTCATCTTGTGCTTGTAGCCTCAGCGCATTTGAAATGGGATGCAGCCTTCGCTTCATGCAGCCGGCACATCCCCAGACCTTGTGTGTTCTGAAAGTGAATAAAATCCTCACACAATATACGCTGCTCAATACGCCACGTAGATTAAAATTCATGGAGTACTTCTGTCATACGCATTTAGAGGCAATGAATGGTGAATAGGAATATGAAGTGCAGCAGGATTTTTACCAAATTACCCATCGGCTTGGGCTTGGTTTTTCAATGCACCAAGTGAATCCCAGTGGAGGTCATGTGTGAAATGAAATGGTTAATTACAATACAACACAAGTTAAGTACATCCACCTTGCTTTAGTGCTCCCGACAGTTTGTGCAACAAGACAAACAATGGAAATGTGCCTTGTCTTTTTGGTAGGATATACTAAATATTACCAGCAATTATTATAAACTTTTAATTCAAGTCATGATTCAAAAATAAAAGTAAAAACTATTACAAATTAGAAAACACTCTATTATCATTGTTTTGTGAAAAATTATTTACCTCCAAATGAGAAAAATAAATCGGTGGAGATAATCCAGCGGCTTTTAAATGGATCCTTTATCTTATCAAATAACAGATTTTTCTCAAACCAATAAGGAACATTTTATCTGAAAAATTAAAAATCACCAAATATGGAGATACATGTTTTTCTCTGACGGCAGCGCTGCGAATGTTAAAGCACATATAATTTGACGTGCCGTGTAGAAATAGGAGAACATGCTGAAATTCCTTTGGAGTTTGCTTCAAGCCAACCTAAACTTTTGGCGCTTGGCTTGACGTGACTCCGTGGTTATTCATCCTGGCCCATAACGACATTGATCCGGGGCCTAATTGAGACACAGAGACGCAGAGAAGGACGGGCCTCCTACTAATCCTCAATAAGCAGGCTAACCTTCATTACTGCCGTGACATTTTCCCATGGGGCGCTAAGAGGGAGCAACAGACAGACAGGCTATCAGGGCTCTCCGACATCTGGTGAGCCACAGCGGCGCGCGTGCTTTCTGGGGCCAACGCTCACGAGGAGCCTTGAGGGAAAGACGCGGGGGCGACACGACTGTCATTGTCGCTGTTGTTTTTATTCTACTGCAGGAGTCACTCATTGTAGAAGACAGCGCTGATGCAGGCCTGAAACCTGGACCCTCAGAGAGAGGCTAACGGCTTCAGATAGGCACTCTTAGTATGCTAGTGTGTGTGTGTGTGTGTGTGTGTGTGTTCCTTTTAACATCCTACTAGCAGGTTAGGACTATTTTCAACATTCCATTCACTTCATTTGTGAAACAGACAGCTCACTCTCGTATGTATATACCACATTTTTATTAATATGTCTGACTGGAAATAAAAAAAAATAAAACACATTAGAAAGATTTGAAAAAATAAGAACAATTTAAATGCATTAGGAAACACAAAAACAAAACCAATTAAAGCTGCGAGCAGCGATGAACGGGCCCTCGCACCTTCCCGCGTCTCGGGGGTACTGGCGGGACGCCAGCAGAAGCGGCCATAAATATCTGCGACCATCAGACAGCATGCCCACAAGTTAGACATATTTTTAATGCTTGGACTGTGTGACGCTGGAAATTATGTAGTGCAAATATTCCACCAGTTCCTGTATCCACTGTGGCGCTAGAGAACACGCGCAAACATGCATTGTGTTGCTCTACATCAAGTATAGACCACATCATGTAAATGTCATATAAATCGGATTCAGTTTGTCACATAATGCTGTCTTCCTGTAGGTGGCGCTATGACTTTGAGTGAAAATGGGCTTGTAGACATCCTCAGGCCATGACTGTTATCAAATATGGCAAGTTTGGGACATATTTGAGCAAGTCCAGTGGAGTTACATCAGCTTGTTGTTTAATGGCAAATCACATACAATGGCCGCCACGCCACGGCTACGCCATTCCATCAAACATAAAGCTTTCAGTAACTTTTAATTGCAAAGGTCTTTCGATTGTACTGACCAAATTTGAAAAGGATCTGACAAAGTCTCTAGGAGGAGTTCGTTAAAGTATAGCGACTAGAAATCGAGGGAAAATTCACACAAAAATGAAAATGGCCAACTTCCTGTTCATTTTAGAGCATTATCCCAAGACACTTTTTTTTAAGTCTTCATGTGATACATGTTGCTACCAAATTTCATACATGTAAGTCAAACGTAGTGCTGGGGCTGCGTTTTGTGGAGTTACATCCGGGTTGTTGTTTGACGGCGAATCACGTAAAATGGCCGCCACGCCACGGCTACGCCATTCCATCAAACATAAAGCTTTGAGTAACTTTTAATAGCAAAGGTCTTTAGATTATACTGACCAAATTTGAAAAGGATCTGACAAAGTCCCTAGGAGGAGTTCGTTAAAGTATAGCGACAAGAAATCATGGTAAAATTCACACAAAAATCCAAATGGCCGACTTCCCGTTCATTTTAGAGCATGGTCCCGAGACACTTTTTTTTAAGTCTTC